TGGTGGGCTGACGTCTTGCTTCTCTTGCTTGACGATCCACTTGGGGGATCAGAGCTGGGGTGAAGGGCAGTGGCAATGGCAGGGGCAGTGGAGCGCGGTGAGAGGACTCAGCACGAGGAGGCTGAGAGACTGGGTTGCAGAACAGGCAGATCTACTGAAATACACTACTGGGGGAGCAGCAGGAGAAACAGGTGAGGTCTGCTGCACCAAGTGGGTCACCTCCCTGGCAATAGCTTGATAGCACTGAGACTTTAACCCCTGCACCACCAAGAAGGTCCTACTGTGATTCTTCAGGCTATGTTCTAGGCATGCAAGTCCATGAGGTGCTAGCATTAGTTTAAGAGCCCCACTGGTTGCTTGGTCAAACAGAAAAGACTGCAAGGTGGCAACAGCATGGAGGAACTTAGCTACACTCTCAACAAGGACACACTGTGTAGGGACAACAGTCGTACTCAGACACAGAGCATGACCAGGGCTGTGCAGTGCAGGCTATGGTGCACAGAGGTTAAGTGACCTCTGACTCCTGTAAGAGGAAACTAAAAGGAGCTGTCGGGACTAGCAAGAACTGTGCCTGGGCCTGTTGGTAAGAAGGGTCATAGTTGCTAAGAGAACAGAGTGGGGAGAGGAACTCATAAGGAGGACACCAGGACCCTTCCATTTATCAGATGGCAAGGTGGCACCACCACAGGTAGGGAACTTTAGGCCTTACACCACAGGGTGCTAAACTAGTATATTTTTCAGAATTTGTTTCTTAGTTAAGACAGAGTAGTAGAATGTGCACATGCTGGGGTTCAGGAAGGTCTGGTTCTCGTTCTGCGCTCCCCTCTAGTTGTGCACATGATTTAGTCTGTTCGGTTTCAATTTCTCCATCTAAAGTTACCAAAAGAAAATAATCTCAAGGTATTTTTTTTCTGAATTTCCTTCAATTATATGAAGTCCGTAGCAGATCTGTGCTTTGCAAATAGTTTCTACTATTCCTGAGGTTTCCTTTTTCTTGTTGTTGAAAGTTTTTTTGTTGAAGCTTTTTAGTCTGATGTAGTCCCACTTGATCGTTTGTGCTTGGGTTTCCTTCCACCTGACATCATAGGTTTAATGTTTCTTAACACTTTAAATGTATGTTGTTTTGATGTTAAGTTTTAACATCTCAAAGCTCTGCTTTTTCCAAAGACGTCAATAGTATGCAATGAAGTTCTTTGGGGGAGCAATACATGAATAAATGGTAAATAACTGTTAAGTCTCTCTGGTTCTGTCTGTTGCAGGATTCATTCATATGTCACACCATTACGCAAAGTTTTGCCATGGGCTCAGTCTCCCCTAGAGACTTTATCGACCTGGTATACATCAAACACTGTGAAGGAAATGTGGATGTTATCAGTTGTAAGTTGAAACATTTTGCCCACATTTGAAATTACTATGAGTTGTAATTTTTTTTCTTTTAAATGATAGTTTGGGGCCCTTCCTGGTGGCACAGTGGGTTGGAGCGCTGCACTGTGAAGCTAAGCCAAGCCGTGGCTGCTTCAGTGTGAGTTCCATCCCGCCCTGGAGGTGATCCACATGGTGAGTAACTTCTGTCTCTTCCCCTGCTCCCCTCAGCAGTGTACTTTGTTGATCTGCCTGTTCTGCTCCCCACTGTTTCTGGTGAATCCTCTCGCTGCCCCTGCAACTCTGGCCTGTACCCCATTTCTGTATGCATAAATAAATAAAATCTTTTTAAAAATGATAGTTTGGAAGAAACTGTTTTGTTAAAATTAATTGTTTCTATATTTACTTAGTAAAACCAATAAATGCATGCCTAAGGTAGATAACCTGCTGCTTCCCCAACTCTGGAGGTGTCACCTCATAGTCCATGATTATGGCATCTCCTGGGGCTTTTGCAGCAGAAACCCTGCAGCACGGAGTAGAGAGACTTCTAAGCTAGAACATAACAGCATGCATCTAAAGCTACCAATAAACAAATTTAATCTTTCCATGGATATTCTTTTGTTTGAATTGTGTACAGTGAGCATATCTAGTAACTGTTAAGACACCTGAAAAAATTTTCACCAGATGAAAATACTTTAAAAAAATCACTTAATATAGTGTGCTTCTATTTCTTTTAGAAACTAGAGTTTTTGGTATAGCTTAGCTCTTTCCCCCCAAGATATGTGTTCTATAAAATGAAAATATGCTCCCATTTCCTTGTCTGTAATTATTCACTTGCCATTATTCACTTAAAACATATCAGTTCATACCATAAAAATCTTTGCATTGATACAGCTCAAGATACCTCATGGGAAAGGGACTTAGGGAGGACAGTGGCATTAAGCACTTTTTTCCTCATAACTCAATTTATTCTCATCACTCCTATCTATGTAAGTTTCCCTACTGTAAACTACTTGGGGAAAGGGATTTTTTAAGTGTTAATTAGTATTTTCCAACATGGATTCAATTACTATGATATGTCTGTAGCAATCTGTTTCAGAGTACAGACCAAGTTGGGGTTATGCTACTAGTTCTCACTCAAGTTCAGCTGGTTCTGTCTCTAAGCTAAGGACTTGCACTAGTGACCAGAGTTCATCACTTTTTCATGTAGTTTCATGCAATTGTCAGTTGTCTCATTTTTTTTTTTAAGAATTTATTTATTGGTTCATACAGAACTGGGGTACAGGCCAGAGGTGTGGAGGGTGAGAGGCTTCACCAGAGACAGAGTGGGGAGCAGAACAGGCAGATCGACGAAGTACACTGCTGAGGGGAGCAGCAGGCGGGCCAGGAGAGGTCTGCCGCGCCATGTGGTCACCTCCGGGGCAGGCGGGAATCGAACTCATGCGGAAGCAGCCTTAGTTTCTCAGTGCTGTGCTTTAACCCGCTGCGCCACCAGGGAGGGCCTAGTTGTGTCATTTTTTAAAAGAGAACACGCTAAAGTTTATTCACTGCTTACAACACAAAATATTATCTGTCTGAATCATAGATGTCATTCTCTTTATCTTGGAAGCAGACTGCTTCTCTTACTTTAATGATCAGGCAGAAGGGCAAGAGGGCCATGGAAGTTTAAATCAACAAACAGTGTCACTTCTTCAATGATCATTATTGAATTTGCATTAAGACTTTATCTTTGAATGAATTTTTGATCATTTCTGACTGTTATTTATAATTTTTTTTGATTAGCTTCCTTTGCACCTGGCTTTGAGCTCAATCGTTTGCATACATTGCCTGACTAATGAGGAAACTGAACTTCACAAAAAGAAGTCACCTATCGAGTCAGCAGTTGACCTAGAATTAAGTCAAATATTACAGATATCTGTGCTAACTGCCATACTATAAACCTCACAACAGACCTATACTTTTTTTGTAGAGTATAACAGATTTTTTTAAAGAAAGACAAACATGTTTTTCATATTGTAACACAGAAAAAGTATCTTTATATCCCTCTGACAGCGCCATTACACCAACCACATTAGTCTCCTAATTGAGTCTAAATTAATGTTTAACACTGTATTTCCCACAGAATTGATTGTTTATCTTAAAATCATCTAAGAAAAGCCATCTTCTCTGACAAAAGCAGGATTTTGTCTACAAAGCAATCTTAACTATTTTTAGAAAGAGTATATATATTATCATGAACTTAATAATAATCAAAATCACCTGTTAACATTCACATTCAACAGTTATTCTGCAGGACTTCTAAAACTACTGATTTTTTTTTTTTTAAAGATTTATTTATTTATGCTTACAGAACTGGGGTACAAGCCAGAGACTCAGGGGTGGCGAAAGACTTCACCAGAAAGTGGGGAGCAGAACAGGCAGATCAATGAAGTACACTGCTGAGGGGAGCAGCGG